GGCAGGCAGGCATGAAGCCTGGGAAGGCCATACTCATGGCAGCGGCCGGCCTCACCAGTAGATTTCTCTGGAGGCTCCTGGGATCCAGACTCCCAGCAGAGATTAGCATCCACCCACCCCTAGGAGTGTGTTGATCTAAACTATGCACAGCAGATTCCACCCAACCAAGTCCATAAGTTCTTATTAGAGTGAAGCCCCAGCCATCAGAGCTCCCCCCCACTTAGAACCCTGCAGCAGCCCCACACAGGCCGTACAGCAATCTGGTCTGTCCCAACAAAACTGCCACCAACACTGCTGTGGTGAAATCAGCAACACTGCCACAGTCAGCCTTGCTCTGGTGTACTCTTTCTTTTCTTTGTTCAATGTACCCAAATACCCGAGTCTCTAAGACTCTGATTCCGTGATACTGAATTTCAGTGAATTTCCTCTTTCACCCACCTCACTGAGAGCAGTTCTCCCACTGCTCGAACCCTGAGCCACGAGCAGCTGGAAAGGCAGCCTTCCTCTAAGCTGCCACCTTGAATCCCCCCACCTCATGCAATTAATCCTTGCTATTTTATCTTGCCATAACCACGGCGCCAGTTCCAGTCAGTAAGTCAAGAAAGAATAGTCAAGGTACAGGCCAATAGTCTGGGACATTTCTAACTATTATTAAAAGTTAACTAAGCAGAAACAGCTCAAAGCAAAACGCAAACCGAAAGTAAAACTCCTTGCTTATGCATAAGCCAAGATACATTCTTCTCATCTAATTGTAACTACGTAATATTTTGTTTCGTTGAATAATGTTTCCTGTTTTGTAACCACAAAAACTGTGAGCGTGCCAAAATGAAAAGTATATATATATATATATATTAACTTCACAAGTAAAGAATCAGATTCAACACCCTCACTCTTGTGTCTGTGTTGTTTCTCCACCGCCTTTCCCGACTCCTCACCATCCATTTGTCTCCTGAGACCCCCTGCCAGAGCTGGACTCCGACAGTTAAAGATGTATTAGGCATCATCTTGGGTGTTCCCAAGGTCTTTGAAAGAATGAAACAATCTCACCTTGAGTTGGATCTTTACCACAAAGGCTTTCTATTGAGGTGCCCAGCACCTGACAGAGCAGTTTTCTTCCCAGTAGGTGTGAGCTGCCTGGGAAAGTAAAAAGTCTGAAATAATCAGGAAGAAATAAAGATGGAGCCAGAAATTAGATATAAAAAGAGGAGAATCTGATAGGTCTTTCAGTTTTGATAGGAGCTGGAACTGAACAACTGAAAAAAGGCCCCAATTCTTTATTTAAGGGGGAGTACATCAAAGGCAGGGATAAGGTTTCAGCACTTGGCTCAGTGCTTGCTTCTCAGCGTGGCAGGGGTCTTGCAGTGAACAGGTTGATTGGCAATTTGACAAGCCACACCCCTCTCCAGGACTATTCTAGAACTTGAGCAGTGAGCTAAGGTTGATTGGCAATTTGACAAGCCACACCCCTCTCCAGGACTATTCTAGAACTTGAGCAGTGAGCTAAGCAGGGTGTCACATGAACCACTCATCCTCGAACCAAAGGATTCCTCCTGGGCGTTCCTGTTACCAGGCTTTCCTGCCTAATGGCTCCAACATCACTCAGTTTACCCATAGCTCATATATGGCTCCTGGCAGTTTTCATTGATTTTGTTTTTATTTATTCATTTATTTATCTTGCCATTTGGAGAGGCAGGTATTTTGTAACTGAGCTAATTTTGAATCCAGGAAGTCTTGATACTTCTATAGACACTCTATAAATTTTCATAAAAATGTTCTCTCTCTCTCTTTCTCTCTCTCTCTCTCTCTGTGTGTGTGTGTGTGTATGTGTGTGTGATTTCACATCTAATCTTATTATATGTAACTAAAAAAAACATGTTATACAGAATATTATGCATAAAAATAACATTAGCCAAAAGCATGAGTCCATTAGGTATTTCTGCTATTTTCCCAGTTGCCACAAGTCTCATTGTTACCAAAATTTCCTCTAGTATATAAGAAACATTGCTAATTTTAGATTTCAATAATAATTTCTCCTTGTTACCCCAGCTTTATAAATAGTCAAATTAAGGCCCTCTCAGCCTTCATTACATTTCTAGTCTACACCATATGTTTTAGGTCTCTTAGTTGTAGCAGATCTTTTTCACAAGATACCAATTTCTAGTCTAGTGATATTGTTAAAATAAATACTAATCAGTGCCTAGAAAATCTTGCAGTGAGATAAGAGGACTCTAAAGAATATGATAATGGAACAATTGGAAAGGAGAAGCTGGATATGTCCCCTTTGTTCAATGTTTGGGTGAGAATCAAAGCAGAGTGACCTTGGTCACTTACCTTTCCATGCACATTTTAAAATTAGTTTGTATGTATTTTTTAAACTCCTTTTCCCATCCCTGCTCCCTTCCATTCATTCCCCTATGTGTACTCTAACTTTCCTATGTGTATATATATATATATGAATACACCACAGCAAATCTCACCATCATGTACATCCAGAAGAAATTAACTTTAAAAATAACTATGGGGGCCTGAGGATATAGCTCAGTTGGTAGAGTGTTTGCCTCACATGCACAAGGCCCTGAGTTTAAACCCCAGGAAAACAAACAAACAAACAAAAAACTATGAGTAAATGGCAAAAGAATCAACAAAGGGAAGGGAGCAGAAACTGGCGAGAGGGAAGGGGAAGATCTAGACCTTGAGAAACACCAGAGTCAGAATTAGAATAAGATATGTCCCATGTTTGTATAATCATGTCAAAATGAATTCTATTGTCTTGTATAACTAAACAGAACCAATAATAGATGATAGATGATAGATAGATAGATAGATAGATAGATAGATAGATAGATAGATATTCCTGCTGGGTTCTTGATTGGGGTTGTGTTAACTCTGTGCATTAATTTAAGGAGAACTGACAGCTTAACTTTATTCCCATTGTGTCTCCCAAATTATGACACAGAGTTTATTTAAATCTCCATTTATTTAGTTATCTTTGATTTTGAGCATCAGCTACATACTCCCTCTGGGTGTTTTACAGAACATAGGCAAAAGTATATCATAGGGGTTGTAAATGAGACTCTTTTTAAAATTTCAGCTTCCAGATGTCCAAGTTGAGATAGGAAAATGTTCAATATTTGTGTATTAAATTTTTATCTTACAACCTTCCTAATGTCAATTATGGTAAGTTCCAGGAGTTTTCTTTAGATTCAGGAAAATGTCTCCCCTTATTCCCTGGTGATCGTGTACATCCACCAGGAAACATAGGCAAGGATTAACCTCAGCTGATTTCTGAGTGGAGCACCCTAATTCTTCCAGCACAGAAGTGCCCAGGAGGCTCACAAGGAGCTTCTATAAAGTCACTGATATTTGTGTCTATTTCAGAAAGGCTGTCATAAGGAAGTCTGTCCTTATCACCCAGGCCTATGGGAGGGTTGTGATTAAGATTGAAGCTTTCTCTCACACCCTGCTTAGGTTAATGCTGCAGGACGTGAAAGTATTTAACTACAGTGTGGCAAACTTTACATGGCAAAAAATGTTCTATTATTGTTGGAGTCATTGTGCCCATTTCATTTTGGTGTTCCCCTGTACCAGGGACACAGGGAGCTGGCATCTGTGGCTAGTCTTGCTTTTACTATGTATATAATAAACCATTGGAATCTGGAATCTAAAAAAGACTTGTTGGATTTGTACATTTTGTTTTGTTTTACTGATAGAATTTATCAGACTTACTCTTGCTTGACATTTGGTTTAATAGAATTTTCTACACATTTTATTTATACCAAGATTAATTCTTCTAGAAATTGTGCATAATTTTCCTCCACAGTTTGTTCCCTTCACGAGGGGTTTCTTTTCCATGTATTATAAACTTGTGGGTTGCTGACTTTGGAGTTCTGAGTCAACTAACTGATTTAGGACATAGGAATATAGTTCTTCTTGGTCTGTTTACCTAGCAGCTGTTCTGTGTAGGCAGGGTGGGGCTGTTCTCACAGGTGGGATTCCTGTCAGGGTTCATGGGCCAGGAGAAAGCACACACACAAAAACACACACACACACATACACCTGCCAAATGAGAGGAGGGTCATAATTGCTATGCATATACCAATAAGAACCCTTGCACATCCAGTTTAAGAGAGAACAAAAGGAAGTCTCTCCCACTAAGGATGCACTTGGACAATACCATGCTTCTACTTTATCCGTCCTTAACCATCCTAAGGTTTTCACTGTGAGCTGGGGAGGAAAACAACAGAAAATGAAAAAGCACACCTTAATAGTGCTCATATATTATCTCATCACACAAATGATAATTGATGGTGACAATCAAATAATACTAAGAAACATAGATGGGGCATTTCTTTGGACAAGGAAGCCTACAAAAAATAAAGGCACTGCCTTTCCATCTGCTCTATGAATCCCAGATGTCTATCCTGTGACTCACTGATCTTTCTGTTTTTACTCACTGGAGGAATTTCCACAGCCTTCAGACTTCCAAGGTCTTCTAGATCTTGATACAACTTTATATTTTTCCCCAAATAACTCTGAAGAATGATGAACAGAGCAGACTGGGAGGTGGACTGAGCAGGGGTAAAAAGACCCTTTGCAACTTCCAGGGTGAGGAGTGTGAGAAGCCTGAGAACAACCAGTAGCCCATGGGTCATTTGCACACAGATGAGGGAGGGCCTGAGGGTTCTTCCAAACTGGGGTTGGAACCTTGATGAGGTTCAACAAAGGGCTCTTTCCAGAGTCACAGCTTTGAAAGCTTCTGGAGTAGCATGTGCCCTGGAATTTCAAGGGGATCTCAGAGAAGGGCAGCCAATATCTAACAGATAGAGCAGCTCAATTCATTGATGTATGACATAATACAGTCATTACATATGATTTTGAGCAATACCCCTTCCGGTTTCAAGGCTACCTCTGTTGTAATAGGAGGTGGCAAGTTGGGGGTGGGGGTGGTACAAAATTCCTATATAAGCCACAGCTTACAATCCCACCACCAGTTCTGCTGCTGCTTTGCCATCTGCTGCTCCACAGCCTAATTGGAACTATGGTGCTCAGACTCTTTGGTAAGAAGACTCATGCCCCAAGTCAAGCCTGAGTATTATTGCATCCCGAATGTGCCTCTGAATCTCAGACTTAATCCTTTCTTGCCTATTCAGTTCTCAGCTTCCCACCTGGTATCCCCCCCACCTCATTATCTCTGACTTTACTGCAATCTCTCTGCCCATCTGCAAATTTCAGAAGCTTCCCTCTTCCCAGGGCCCTCCCTACATTTCCTTACCTGTCAACCCAGACCCTAGGACCAAGACCCACAGTTCCTCTCAAAATTCACTCTGAGCCATCACCAGCTCGGTGACATGGTCTTGTGGCCCTGTTCATGGCAAGTCAGCAGAACTCCCAGCACTTTCATTTCTCTCCTAGTATCAGTTGTTCTCTTCATATATGAACTTCTGGACTCATCGGACTCTGAAGGAATCACAGGTGAGGACAGGTGTGGTGAGGAGGGAGGAGATGGCCCTGTGAATGGAGGTGGGTACTAGACTAGTCCTTGGATCCCACCCAGCTCTGACTCTTCCAGATACTGGCCCATGGCTGTGCCAGCCAATTCCCAGGTGTGGGGATAGGATCTACAACCCCTTGGAGCAGTGCTGCAATGATGACACCATCCTGCCCCTGAACCGGACCCAGCTCTGTGGCTTCAACTGCATCTACTGGCCTTGCTTTGAGCTCTGCTGTCCTGAGTCCTTTGGCCCCCGGAAGAACTTTATTTTGAAGCTGAAAGTTCTGGGTGTGCACTCCCAGTGCCACTCATCCCCCATCTCCTGGAACTGTGGCAAGTAAGGACCCTGCCCCAACTGTGGCTGGGGGCAGCGGGGATGGAAGGAGGAGGGCAGTCTGGATGTCTACACCTCTCCTTTTGAGCAACCCTTGCCCTGTGGTCTAATCTCTAGCTTTTATTCAAATCTTTTCATTTGTCTTCTTGTCTGTGATTCATAATTTCTTGTTTTCTCCCTTTTTGCAACAGAGAGATGTTTTCCCAAAGATATAGAAGAAATGCAACTTTCTCTAAGGCCACTCACCAGGAGAGACCGAGGTAGGCTTCAGGATCTGTGCAATAGCTAAAGAAATCGGAGAAGAACTTAGAGGGAACTAATCTGAGTTAATTTCCCCAGCAAACTTGTAAACTGCTACTTGTTGACTAATGACTATTTGAATGTGGTATGTTAATTGGTGATGTTTCGTAGTAGCTTGAGGCCATTAGTTTCCTCTTACCACAATACTGAGTAAGTAGAGCTCAGAGTTTCATTCACTTTCAGATAGAGCCACCCAGGAGAGAAATAAGGTCATGGGAATGGGGATATTTGAATGTACAGACTCTTGACACACAGGAGACAAGAAGGAAGCCCCACCCACCCACCCACCCAACCAACCTAACCAACAGAGCTAAACTGTGAATGTGCCAAAAGGCACTCAATCCAAAAGGGGTCTTTCCTGCCACAAGAGACAAAGGGAAGTAGGAACAACTGAAGGTACATTTCTTTAAATAACCCAATAGGAGAGAGTAAAGCCTAGGGGATGTTGGGGAAGACTGTGTACCCAGAGTACTCAGCCCACGAGGAACCGGGAGGGATCCTGCTCTCTGGAGGGTGAAATGCTGGTTGTGCTCAATCTGTGTGTCCCTGACCACCAGCTACCTGGTCTCGCAAGACCGTCATTACTTTCTGCTGTTCCTTGTGTCTCTTGGTTCATTCTTTGGGCTGGGATAGGTGAGCGTCTTTCTCACAGCAACAAATCTCTGCATCTTTCCTCAGGCTCCAGCATAGCCATGTTTCTCCTGCCCAGGATGTGATGACCATACATGGTCCACTCCAAGGTGAGACTCCAGACTGACACTCTCAAATGTCAGTCTGTCAGGACCTGGCCTGGGATTAGCTCTGCTCCCTGAACAAGTTCCTCTACTGGTTCAGGAATCTTGTCTGACCATCTGCAGTGACTCTGCATTTGTCTCCGCTCTCTAGCTTCCTGTTTTCTCAGTTCAACCTCCAGAGCCCCAGAGGCCACCCTAACCCTTTCTTAGGCTCTCTGCAATGTATATTTGTGTGAAGAGTGATGTGTGTCCTGAGGGTTATAGTTATTAGTAGCTACAATTGGAGAAAAAAAAAAACAAAAACCTGTGATTGCCTGGCTTATGACTATCAGGTGACCCACAAGTACTCATTGAACATTAACCACTGAAAGTGGTGTAGCCTGAGAATTTATTGTCATTCAATAAATCCTGACATTGTGGAAAGACACAAATCAATGCGTTTTGTCTGTGTCTCCGGAATAGCTTGCTCATGTCACTAATTTACTCAAATGAGATTTTTCCAGGGTGTATCAGACCTGCTTGTGCATTCATAGAGATATTATCCAAAAGATCCCTAAACCTTCTTCAACCAATGCTGGGAGAAGGGATTTCTGGTGACTCTCAGTTGACTGTAAAGGTCACAGAAGTCCACATCAGGAATATTACCACCCTCACCTTAGACGTGACCCTTCTGTGGCAGTTGGTGAGCAGAGCAAGCCACTGAAACCACACAGAGTGGAACTCTATTTTCTACTCAAGCTCTTTATAAACATGAACTAGTAATGGACTGAATGTTTGTGCCCTCTCTCAAAGGTCATTTATTGAAGCCTTGAACATGACTATGATTATAACTAGATGTGGGGCCTGTAAAGAAATAGTCAACCCATGAAGTCCCAAGTTTTCGAGTCTGCAAATATTTCACAAAATTGACACAAGTTCATTAAAAAAGGTTGTAAATTATAATGTAGTGTTTATACATATTACTATATTACTCTTAATTAATATCATATTATAATTATATTATTTTTATTGTATCATGTTATATATTATATACCATATTTACATTTTCATAGGTGTTACACGTAAAGGACAATGGGACAAAGTGGGTTTTAAGGTTAAATGAGATGATAAGGGTGGAACTACAGTCCAAAATGATTAGTGTCCTGATGAGAAGAAACATCTCCTCTCTCTCTCTCTCTCTCTCTCTCTCTCTCTATATATATATATATATATATATATATATATATATATATATCCCTCCCTCCCTTCCTACAGGCACACAAAATGCCATGCATATAAGAAAGAATGAAATCCTGTCGTTTATGGAAACATGGATGAAACTGGAGTCACTATGTTAATTGAAAAGTTAAGTCTGGCACAGACAGATACCACTTGTTCTTACTCTGGAAGCTAAAAGAGTTGGCCACATAGTAGTAGAGAGTGGAATAGAGGACCCTAGGAGCCAGGAAGGAGAGGGGAAGGGGGCACAGTGAGAGGTGGATGAGGGGTCCAGAACTGTGGGGAGAGGGAGTGGTTAGTTCTAATGTTATATAGCATAAAAATCTACACCAATTACCTACATATTCCAGAGTAACTAGAGGAGGAAAGTCTGAATGTTCCCAGCATATAGAAATGATCATCTGAGGACACAGAAATGCTAATCACCCCGCATTTGATTGTTTATTGATCATTTGGGATAGTATTGTAATGTGATCCTCCTTCCTTCTGTCTGCCATCGAAAGTCTATACAGAAGCTCCACCTAGAGGTTCTATGGTAGATAGTATTTATTGTGTCATCAACTAACACAAAACATGTCAATTAACTTTCAGGAGAGTGATCTGTCTGAAAAGCGAATATAGGAGCTGATCCAAGGAAGTCAAGGTCCACTGCAATGTACTAAGAAGACTGAAGCCCTGCTGACGGAGACCACCCAGCTGCATCCTCACTGCCTCTTTTCCCTCCTGTTTTGAGGAGCCAGCCCCTCTATCTCCTTCCAGAGTACTTTGAATAAACTTTATTCCCCCTACCAACACCTGTCTTGCATATATTTGTACCTGAGTGATAGGAAGCCTGAACGTTGGTTTCCAGTACATTTTGTGCATATATTGATTTGAAGTATCTGATTCAATCATCGCATACTTATACACATATTGAAACAGTACACTGTTCCCTGTAAATATGTACAATTATTATGTACCAATTAAAATTTTCTAATTTTTTTTTTTAAAAAAAAAAGGTCCATGAGAGCACACAGGAGAAGGTTGCTGTCTGCAAACCAAGAAGAGAGCCCTCACCAGAAACTGAATTGATGGACACCTTGATCCTAGGCCTCTCGCCTTCTCCAGGACTGTAAGAAAATATTTGTCTATTGTTTAAGCCACCCAGTCTGTGACGTTTTGTTCTGGCAGCACAAGCTGACTCATAAAGTATCTTAATAACATATCTAGAAGGAGGAAAGACTTTAAAGTGGTGGTTAGTAAGGAAGCCACAGCCATTCATTTGGGCCAGGATGTGTTATGGGGAAAAAAACCTCAACAAACTTCCACCTTCACTTGCTCTTAGTTCACTTAAAAGTCACTAATTTGTGGTTTCACACAGCTGGGCTGTATTAGTCTCCCACTACATTTTCTGTAGATAACATCTCGCATGTGGGTTTTGATAACAATGGTGTCTAAATTACTATTCAGGGATTTGAAGGCTGCTTTTCCTGAAAACACTGACTCTTGTAAACTATGACTTTCATCATTCATAGAAAATTCAGCCTGTCCTAAAAGTCCTAGTCCAGTACCTATACCTCTAGTAATGTCTCTTGGGGTTTTAGCATTTGGCCAATTTTCATATACTCACCATAAATGTTATTGCCATTGGAGACTAATTGTTTTTGTGCATTTTGAATAAAAAAATTCAACTTCAAATCTTTGAGCATCCTTTACAAAATTAATAGAGTAGAAGTAAATCTACGGTAGGAGGAAGTGCTGCCTAGCATGTACCAGGTCCTAGATTCCATCCCCAGTACCAAAAAAAAAAAAAAAAAAACATTATAAACAAAAATGTATTTCTAAAATAATGTTGAAGTAATCTAAAGGAAGGCAGGGGGAAATTAGAGAAATGCAAAGATCAAACAGAAAACAAACTAATAATAATAGACAGGCTTAAGTCAACATATAAACAATTGCATTAAATGTAAATGCTCTAAATATACTAATTACAGACAAGCCAGTCATGGTGGCACAGACCTGTAATCTCAGTGGCTCTGGAGGCTGATGCAGGAGGATCACAAGTTCAAAGCCAGCCTCAGCAATTTAGCAAGACCCTAAACAATTCAGCGAGACCCTTTCTCTAAATAAAAATATCAAAAAGGACTGAGGATGTGGCTCAGTGGTTAAGCACTGTCAGGGGCTGCTCTGGAGAGGAGCTATGCACACACCTTTAGGTCCTGAGTAAGAGGTCCTGAAGTTATTGCACTCTGCAATACATTGGGCTTTACCTCTGCTTGAATAATGAGATGTGGCTCCAGGAATGGAGGTCACCCTGTGGGGTTTCCAATCCTACCCCTTACCCTTTTTCGGGTAGAATGTCCCATGGAACAGTACCCCCAATAAAAGGCGAGCATCAGAACGTGCCCCTTCACTCTCACCAGGTTCTCATGTCTTTCTCTTGCTACTTTTTGTCAGAGCTTGAGACCCAGAGATGGGGAAGCCTTCCTGAAACCCCCAGGAAAAGGCATTCCACGTCTGCATGGTCTTTTCATGTCACCCCAAATTCACCTGAGTGACTTTAGTTCAGTAGCCCACACTGGATGGGGGCTGCAGAGAGCAACTTGGGTTCAATCTCCTGTATCAAAAATAAATAAATAAACAAATAAGCATGTTATGTGTAAGAAATTCACTTCAAATATAAAGGTAGATTAAGTTTGCATGGCAAGTGACTTACCCGAGACAGAAATTCAACCAAGAGATTTTATGGGGGGCTGTGGGAAGGGGAAGGAGAGGGAGAGGGCAGAGAGAGTATGAGCTTGGAAGCTTCAGCTTAAGAAGGGTTGCTTGGCGACTTGCCGGGTGCTGATTGGCAGGGGACTCAGGAACAGCGAGCAGACACTGTGTCCTGGTGGGGGGAGGGGATTGGTGGAGAAAACTTTTGAATTTGGCGCCCTTCAACTTGGTGCCCTTTGGAGAAGGAGGGGAGGGGTAAGGGATTACGTGATGGTCTTCTCTGAGATGGAAACTTAACTTCAGCGGGGAGAAGCCAGATGGGGGAGATAAAACCAAAAAGGCAAGGTCCTACACACACCCAACAAGGTTGATATAATAAAGTAAAAGGATGTAACAAGATATAACATTAATAAATAGCAGACCACTGAAATAAAAAGCAACATGGAAGAATCTTATAAACATGCTGAGCTAAAAGCAGAACTCCATTGCATGGCTGTACCACAGTTGATCACCCATTCACCAGTAGGAGGGCATTTGGGTCAGTATGGCCCTGTGTCTCCCTACCCCGCCCCCACCTCCCCTTTGACTCCTACTCCTCTTCTCCCTCAACTTTCCTATTTCTCTGGCTTCTTTGTCCCTTGCTCTCACTCCTGCTGTCTCTATTCTCCCCACCTCACCCCTCCTCCTGTTACCAAAAGCTAGTCCTTGTCCCCAATGCCAATCCAGTAATGAGGACACAGTTTTGAGGAAAAGGAAAAAGAAGGTTTATTTATTTGCTAGCAAAGGAGAAACATAGGGAGCTCCTGTCTCGGAGGCTGTGAATCTTCTCAGTAGTACGAGCAGGGGACTTTTTAAAGAGATGATTCAAAATCTACATTCTTTGTGTTCTCTGTCGGAGTTGTAATGCACTTGTTAATTTAGGAGATGGTCATTTCTGAGATCTCCTGGTACCATCCCCAAAGTCTGAATTACTTTGTTCCTATGGTGGGTGAGTACTCAAGGACAGATAAGTCTGTTTAAAATGGGGAAGAAAGGTAATCCCGTTTCCCTGAGATTAGGAGGGGGAGAGATTAGGGAGGAGCATGGAGAGAGGAAGAGAAAGAAACAGGTCCATTTTAAAACTAAGTTGCAGGGCAGAGCAGCAAAAAGTAGGCCACTGTTACACTCCCATCATCTCCCCACTCCTCTGCTACCCACCTCTCTCCATCTCTCCCAGTCTCTCCTGGGTTCATTTCCTTGCTTTCTAAGAAGTGTCCCCTGAAAGCTCATGTATGGGACAATGCAGGCAAAATGATTAGATTATGAGAGCTGTGACTTATTTGATGCATTAATAATTTGAAAGAAGTAGGGTACTGGGTGGTAACTGTCTGCAGGTGGGGTGTGGCTGGAGGGAGCTGGACTCTGGGGTGTTCCTTGGGGGATTACATCTCCTTCCCTGGCTTCTTTCTCACTTGCTCTCTCTGTTTCCCGCCTGCCTTGACTGGAGCAGCTTCTCTCCACCATGTGCTTCTGCCATGATCTTCGGTCTTCCCTCCGGCCTAGAATAATGGTCTCCGACTTGCAGCCCACAGCCCGTCTCCCAAGATCCAAGATGCTACGGCTGCCTGTAGTCCCCTTGGGAAATTTTCATCAGGCCTCTGAAGGCAGGACCAAGCTTGCCTCACTGAGAGATCCAGGAAGGGTGTCACCAGGTGGGCTTCTGTTCCTTCTGGTGCTCAGTGATGTTCATGAGACTCCACACATTTTTTTTTTTTTTAATTACCTTTCTGGAGCATGAGAACCTCAGTGCCAGCCAGGGAGGTTGGAGGCAAGTCTGTCACCTATTGTAACCATGGTCCACTTTAGCTTTGAATATAGCCCTGGCTGCTCTGCCACTGCCATTTATTTTTTAAATGGACTTTTTTTTTCTCTTCCTCTCTCCCTGCATCCCCCTAATCTCCACCCCCAGCCTCAGGGAAACAGCATTACCTCTCTTCCCCATCTTTGGCAGAATTCTCTGTCCTTAAGCACACACCCATCACAGGAACGGAAGTAATTCAGACTTCAGGGATGGCACCGGAAGATCTCAAAGATGACTGTCTCCCAAATATACAAGTGAATTTCAACTTCAACAGAGAACACTTGGAAAGTAGCTTTTTAGTCACCTTTTTAAAAGCTCCCTGTTCCCCCTGATGGGCACAATCACAGCCTCTTGGACTGGAGTCCCCTGTGGTTCTCAGTTGCTAGCAAAGTAATCAACTTTCTTTTTCCTTTTTCTCAAAACTGTGCCATTATTGGATTGGCATTGGGGCATGGACCGAGCTTTGGGTAAGAGCATTGGCAGCTGACCTCAGCAAGGCCCAGTCATCATGGGGGCCTCCCCCGAGAAATTTCCCAAGTCCCTTTTTGGGGGCGGGCAGCTGTTTTCTCAGCCCTACTGTCTGGGGGCTGAGAAACAGAAGGAGGGCGACCCCCTGCGTCCAGGCTGCCAGCAATGTACCCTGACCTTGGAAACCTAAATCTGAGCTAGTGACCTCGAGGGGCCAGTCCTCGGGCGCCACCTGGCGGTCACATTTATATCGTTTTCTCACATATCATTGGCGAAGCTGGCGGGATGGGAACCAAGAGCGGTGCCCAAAGCAGAGTTCCAGGAGGCGCAGCGACAGCAGGTTCCTCCCATATTGGTCCCCAACTGGCGTGGGAGCAATTCATGGACATGGTACCTACAAATACCTGGGCGAGTGGATTTGCGGGCCACGTGGGTGGCTGGGTGGGGGGGTGCTTTGAGCTAACTATGGTCCAGGTGCGGAGCTCCCCTCTCCCAAAATTTATCCAGATGCAAAAATAAATAAAAATCCCATTGCTCTTCCTCTTCCTGATCAGTTGTCCTTTCTGCAGAGAAACTATTCAGTTTCTGGTCTAATTTTATGGAGGATTCAAACAGGAGTTAAAACTTCAGTTGATCATAGATTTTGGTGCCCACAGCCACCACAGGGAGAGACAAGAGGATTTAACACATTCAGTACCAAGTTTTCAATCTTTGGATAATTTCAGTTAACATAGGTGCATTAAAATAGGTTGGAAAAATATAGAATTTATATATATTGCATTAATGTTAT